CTATATACAGAAGGAACAGCAGAGACACGCACACGCACACGCACACACACACACACATACACTCAGAGATACACACCTATATACAGAAGGAACAGCAGAGACACGCACACACACACAGTCACACACACACACACACACACTCACACACATACACATACACTCAGATACACACCTATATACAGAAGGGACAGCAGAGGCACACGCACACACACACACACACATACACTCAGAGATACACACCTATATACAGAAGGGACAGCAGAGACACGCACACTCACACACACACTCACACTCAGAGATACACACCTATATACAGAAGGGACAGCAGAGACACACACACTCTCTCACACACACACACACACACACTCACACATACACACACACACAGAGATACACACCTATATACAGAAAGGACAGCAGAGACACACACACTTTCTCACACACACACACTCAGAGATACACACCTATATATAGAAGGGATAGCAGAGACACACACACTTTCTCACACACACACACTCAGAGATACACACCTATATATAGAAGGGATAGCAGAGACACACACACTTTCTCACACACACACACTCAGAGATACACACCTATATATAGAAGGGATAGCAGAGACACACACACTTTCTCACACACACACACTCAGAGATACACACCTATATATAGAAGGGATAGCAGAGACACACACACTTTCTCACACACACACACTCAGAGATACACACCTATATACAGAAGGGACAGCAGACACACACACACTCACACACACACATACACACACACACATACACACACACTCAGAGATACACACCTATATACAGAAGGAACAGCAGAGACACGCACACGCACACACACGCACACACATACACACACACATATACACTCAGAGATACACACCTATATACAGAAGGGACAGCAGAGACACGCACACGCACACACACGCACACACATACACACACACATATACACTCAGAGATACACACCTATATACAGAAGGAACAGCAGAGACACGCACACACACACACATACACACACACACTCAGAGATACACACCTATATACAGAAGGGACAGCAGAGGCACACACACACATGCACACACACACACACTCACACATACACACTCACACACATACACATACACTCAGAGATACACACCTATATACAGAAGGGACAGCCGAGACACACACACTCTCACACACACACACATACACACACACACTCAGAGATACACACCTATATACAGAAGGGACAGCAGAGACACACACACTCTCACACACACACATACACACACACAGAGATACACACCTATATACAGAAGGGACAGCAGAGGCACACACACACACATGCACACACACACACACACTCACACATACACACACACACATACACATACACTCAGAGATACACACCTATATACAGAAGGGACAGCAGAGACACGCACACTCACACACACACACTCACACACACACACTCAGGCTTTGCTCAAATGACACCTCCTTTGTGAGGCCTGCCCCCTTTAAAGCTGCACCCCTCCATACCCCAGACCCTCTTCCCTGCTCTATTTTTCTTCTTAGTACTTGTCACACTACCTGACGGTCTATATGTTTTACTTATTTGTTTACTGTTTTGGTCCCCTCGTAGAATGTTGGCTCTGCCAGAGCAGGGACTTTATACATTTTATTCACGCTCTACTCCAGGACCTAGGATGGTGCCAGGCACACAGGAGGTGCTTAATAAATAATAACAGCAAACAAATTATTTATAAGTAATACATTCATAAAGCATGTTGCAAGGCAAAGCTCCAAGCTCAGTCCACGTATCACCTCATTTAGTCCTCACAACAACCCTAGGAAGAAGGTACTGTTATTACTACCCCCACTTTACAGAAGCGAGGCCCAGAGAGGTTGAGTAACTTGCTCAAGGTCACCAGCATAGCTGGGATCTGGACTTTGAGGGTCTGCTTCCAGAGGCCATGCTTCTGGCTACTCTACTGTTCAACAAATGAGTGAATGAACAACCAGACCCCACATACAGACCCCGTATGCTGCTCACATCCACAGAGCCCCCTCCCCGATGCCCGCACACACAGGTCAGTCATGCAGACAGGGAGGCAGAGCCAGCGAGAGCGGAGCATGGACAGGACTTACTGATCTTGGATCCCTGGGGCAGAGACGCACCCGAAACACAGCGGTTAGAGTTCTGCCGTTTAGAGGGATCGAGGGTAACCCTGCAGTGTGAGGAGGTGCAGGGGAGGAGGAGAAGGAAGAGGAGGAGGAAGAGGAAACGTCGGGGTGCAGAGGCAGAGCAGAATAGAAGGTTAGGCCCCATCGACCCTCCACCCTGCCCCCACCCCCTGCCATCCTGTGGAGCTCACCTTCGGGTCAGTTTGGAGGTCAGCTTGGTGAAGAGGTTGGTGGTGGGGCGGGGTCGCCCAGCAGGCAGGGGGGTGGCCTCATGGGCCAGCGTGGGAGAGGCAGGGGGCCCATTCTGCACACCCCCNACACACACACTCAGAGATACACACCTATATACAGAAGGGACAGCAGAGGCACACACACACACATGCACACACACACACACACTCACACATACACACTCACACACATACACATACACTCAGAGATACACACCTATATACAGAAGGGACAGCAGAGGCACACACACACACATGCACACACACACACACACTCACACATACACACTCACACACATACACATACACTCAGAGATACACACCTATATACAGAAGGGACAGCAGAGGCACACACACACACATGCACACACACACACACACTCACACATACACACTCACACACATACACATACACTCAGAGATACACACCTATATACAGAAGGGACAGCAGAGGCACACACACACACATGCACACACACACACACACTCACACATACACACTCACACACATACACATACACTCAGAGATACACACCTATATACAGAAGGGACAGCAGAGGCACACACACACACATGCACACACACACACACACTCACACATACACACTCACACACATACACATACACTCAGAGATACACACCTATATACAGAAGGGACAGCAGAGGCACACACACACACATGCACACACACACACACACTCACACATACACACTCACACACATACACATACACTCAGAGATACACACCTATATACAGAAGGGACAGCAGAGGCACACACACACACATGCACACACACACACACACTCACACATACACACTCACACACATACACATACACTCAGAGATACACACCTATATACAGAAGGGACAGCAGAGGCACACACACACACATGCACACACACACACACACTCACACATACACACTCACACACATACACATACACTCAGAGATACACACCTATATACAGAAGGGACAGCAGAGGCACACACACACACATGCACACACACACACACACTCACACATACACACTCACACACATACACATACACTCAGAGATACACACCTATATACAGAAGGGACAGCAGAGGCACACACACACACATGCACACACACACACACACTCACACATACACACTCACACACATACACATACACTCAGAGATACACACCTATATACAGAAGGGACAGCAGAGGCACACACACACACATGCACACACACACACACACTCACACATACACACTCACACACATACACATACACTCAGAGATACACACCTATATACAGAAGGGACAGCAGAGGCACACACACACACATGCACACACACACACACACTCACACATACACACTCACACACATACACATACACTCAGAGATACACACCTATATACAGAAGGGACAGCAGAGGCACACACACACACATGCACACACACACACACACTCACACATACACACTCACACACATACACATACACTCAGAGATACACACCTATATACAGAAGGGACAGCAGAGGCACACACACACACATGCACACACACACACACACTCACACATACACACTCACACACATACACATACACTCAGAGATACACACCTATATACAGAAGGGACAGCAGAGGCACACACACACACATGCACACACACACACACACTCACACATACACACTCACACACATACACATACACTTACCCGTGGGGTGCCCAAGCTGTGGAAAGAGAGGAACAAGTCAGAGTGGGGCCCTGAGGCAGGCTGAGGCCCCAGTCCCTGACTCTTCACTGTCCTGCCCTGAGACCAGAAACCCTAACCAGCGTGGAACTCAGAGACAAGGCTACCATGTACAATTATGCAGGCAGTGTGCTATACAACCCTAACATTATTTTACTGATGCTCTCTGCTCCTAAATTACCCCTCCTTCAGACTGTCCCCTCTTCAAACTCTACCCCCTCCACACTGTCCCCTAAATCTCAACTCTCCTCACTCCAAACTCAGCAATTAAATAGATTTACATAAATTTTTGGATAACTCTGTTGCTATCTGCCATCTGAACCCCAGGAACCAAATCAATTTGGCAAACACTGCTATTTGAACTCTCATCATGCAAACTTGGGCAATGAATAGATGTGAATGTCAAGGACACCGGTATTCATTATGACAATTTTCAACAGATGAAAATAAAGAGGAAGCGCCCCTCCTTCTAACTCTCTCAAGATGCTACATGGGTAGTGGGGGTTCCACTGTCCTAGGACCCTCCTCCAGCCCTTCTGATCCTCCCAGTCCTGATAAAAGGGGCCAGAACTCCAATTTCCATCCTCTCAGGGACCCCAGGACCAGACTGGATCTCAGAGAAGAAACCCTGACTGGGCAGAGGCTGCTCCCTCTCCTTAAGAATCCATCCTCTCTATTTTACTTAGTAACCAAACCCCTGTGAGTATGAGAACTGCACATGGCCACCCAGCCAGAGACTACATTTCCCAGCCTCTCTTGCAGCTAGGGGTGGGTCAGGTGACTATGCTCTCACCAATGGGATATAAGCAGAAGTGCTCTGTACTATTTCTGGGTCATGCCTTTAAAAAGAGTGCTGCTTGGGCCAGCCCGGTGGCGCACTGCTACAGTGCGCCGCTTGGGAGCGCGGCGGCGCTCCC